CCAAAGTGTCTTTGACTTGAGGACAGGCTGAGCGAGCCGGGACTGTTCAGCCTACAGAAGAGAAATCTCAGGGCAAATCTCATTAAAGTGTAAAAGTCTGATGGGAGGAGTGAAGAAGAGGGAGCCAGACTCTTCTCAGTCATGTACAGTGACAAAAAAAGGGGTTAAAAACATGAAATTCCATCCGAACAGAAGAAAACACTTGCTGAATATGAGGGAGGAAATAAAAATTAAAAATAATAAAAATAATAAATATAAATAAATAAAAATGTAAGTATATATTTTTAAATTTTTGATTTTTTTCTTTCCTTAACCTGATATGATATTTGCCATACGTCTGCTTTTCTTTATGTCTTTTCCTTGCCTTCATGATCCCAATCCAGATCATCACACCTACTCGGACCAAGGATAATCACAACCTGCTGTCCAAGCACAGCCTTGCCGGGAATGCTGGGACTACATGGGAAGCCGTGGAGGACAACTCCAAGCAGAGACATGCACCACAGAAGGATCGTGGTAGTGATCATGAGCTGATGCTGGGGCAGAGCCGAGGGCTGTTTTGTTCAGCAGAGAGGACCTCCAGCAAGCAGCTCCCCTTCACATCCAGTGGTGCACCTGAGAGAGGATGGTGACAGAGGAGGGAACGCCCCATGAGCTGTTGTACGGGAATCAATTCTCAGCCCTGTGTTGGGGCTTCTGGCAGGGGGTGGCAGTGGCTGCAGCCTCCAAGTTTTTAGCGACTCACCACAGAGCCCCCCCCCCCCCCGACCGCATGAGCAGCAGTGAGTCCTGTCCTGATCCTGGGGAGCTGCTCTGGTTACACTTTTGGCAGATCTGGGGCTGGTGAGGTCCCCCTGCAGTTCCCAACCATGGTGCCTCGTCCCAGAATCATTGCAGTGGACCGGAGCGGCAGCCATGCTTGGCATTCAGGGGTGGCGACATATCTGTTTCCCATGCAGGTCTTCAAAGGTTTGCCCTTTGGGTGACTCCAGCTTCGGTGATCTTTTGCTTTGTGCGGCTTCAGTCACTGCTCATCCCAGGCACATGCCCTCCCTGGGCTCTCCAGGCAGCTCCAATTTCCCTCTCCTGAAGGACATCATCCCTTTGACACATGTGGGACAGCCCTCAGCAGGTACCTCAATGACCATTCACCATCTCCATGACACTGGACACCAAGGGTTGAGTCACTAGGGGAGATGCGATGAGAAAGTCTGCTCTGAACCAGTGGTAGACAGTATAGGAGGGTCAGAGGAGAAGTGCAACAAATCTAAACATTCATGCAGATATCTTACAACCAAAAATAAGACGAGATATAAGGAAGAAATTTTTTACAATGAGGGTAGTGAAACACTGGAACACGTTGCCCAGAGAGGTTGGTAGATGCCCCCATCCCTGGAAATATTCAAGGTTAGGTTGGATGGGGCTCTGAGTAACTTGACTGAGTTGAAGATGTCCTTGCTCGTTGCAGGGGGCTGGACTAGATGGTCTTTAAAGGTCCCTTCCAACACAAACAATTCTATGATTCTATGTCCCTGTTAGTGACACTGCACCTCAGGATGAGCCATTGGCACACATACCTTAGCAGATGGCACAAGGGACCTTGAGATGAGAGGGACTTTGACAAGCTTGGGGATTAGGCCAATGGAAAACTCCTGAAGATTACAACACAAGGGATCAGGTCTGCACCGGGGGAAGAACAACCCCATGTACCAACTCAGGCTGGGACCTGACTGGCTTACGAGTTACGGTTGGTACTATATGAGCCGTTGGGACAGTCATTTCAAAAAGAAAGTAGAGAAACTAGAGAGGGTCACAAGGAAGCCTGGCAAGATGGAGCTAGGAGCCATGTGGCGAGGCTGAGGGAACTGGGCCTCTTCAGTCTGCTGAAGGCGAGGTACAGGACCATCTTATAACAGCCTACGCCTACGTGGAGAGATGATGGAGTCAAACTCTTAGACTCTTAGACGTGCAGATGGCACGGCGGAGGCAACAGCAACACACTGCCTCCAGGGAGCTTCTTACTCATCATTCCCATATTTTGTATATGTTTTTGAATAAAAAAAAAAATTGACAGTTTTTGTGCTTTTCTGTGATTACTCTTTCTGCACAGGAGAATCACAAAAAGACACACAAGTCATAAATTTGTCATAAAATTCTTGTGGTAGACAAGAAATCCTACCACAAGCTGTGGCAGGAGCCAGGAAGATTGTAAAAAGCACGAGGTAAACCCAAGGAGTTCAAGGCTTCTTCTGAAAGGCAGAAAATTCTTGCAACCACGTATTAAGCCTGGAAATGGGAAGGAATTCTTGTCTGCGGGTGGACGATGAGTAAGCGTGCTGTGCGAACCTGGCAGAGCTGACGGCACTTTCACGATTCAGGGATGATGGAGACAGTTGCACCTTGTGTGCATGCCAGCCTAGGAGATTAGGGATGCCTACTGCTGTGCTGTCACGACCCAGGAGCTGACCCCTTGCTCTCTTCCACTCCTTCACTTTCCACACTTGGATGGATCTCAGGAAACATCCAGGAGCCTGGAGGATGTCTGAACCTCCTGGAATGAAGGCCCATCACTACAGGGGAAAAAAGGAAGTGTTTGTGAGCCACATGGGAGTACAGGGAGTGGTGTGTGTGGCTGTGAGGATGTTAAAGGTAGGAAGAACTGAATTAGCAGAGGTGGTGGCAGGGGGGATCATGCTAAAGGGACAAAGGGTCAATATTGACAGCTGGGCAGTGCAGGACAGCCTGTGGTGGCCAAGGGTCTTAGTGGGGTTGGACCCCTCCAACAGAAGAGGTGTCTTTATCCTCTGAGTGATGGCTGCTCTGTCTTCCACTGAGGCTCATGAGAGGACATCGCTTACCTACAGCGCCAGGGCTTCGCTGTCTCCACACCTCCCACAGAGCCTTGGGGGAGGCCTACTGCTGTCCCGCACTCAGCATCACTCCCCTCCACCTCACGCTGCCTCCCAAAAGAGCCCTGAGCATCCCAAAAGGGAAAAGATCCCTCTTCCTGGGACATGGGAGTCAGGGCTTGGCTATCCTGCTTGATGAAACACATCAAGGGGTTGTGGAGCCACCTCCACTTGCCTTGGCTACCTGTAACCAGTGCCTCCATCTTCCTGTTTCACCATCCCCCAAGGGTGGTCACCTTGTCTGCTCACCCCCTCCATGGTCTCTTCAGTGGTGGTGCTCAATGGAGCCCGTTAACACCCTCAGAAACCTGGAAGTTTACTGCTGCCTTTTACTTCTCTAGAGGCGTGTTCAGTCTTCTTTCAGTACCTGCAGTTCAGGAACTTGACAGCAGGAGGCTCATTAACATGTAAAACACCGTGACAAGACAAGTCTCTCGGCAAAATTTTCCTGAATCCCTCAATTCTGATGTGGTTAATCAGAGAGATTTCAAGAGCGTAGTCAAAGTGAAACGGTTTCGAAGCACAGAGACAAAGACTATAAGATGCTTGATTCTCAATAGCCAATTCGGCATTAATCCCAACGTATTTGGGTTACAGGAATGTTTTCAAGTAGACTCTGCGGAATCTAGGCCCATGGGGATGGACAGGCACAGTCACTCCCAAAAGGAGGCATTCCTATCTCCTAGGCCGAGGCACGCATTCTAGATGCACATGTCCACAGTGCCCACTTGTTACACGCCTCCAGGCAGTGTCACTCATTCCGCACGACCCTTTAAGCCGGTATCAACTCATCCTGCTTCTTTTACCCTTCCCTGCAACTATAAAGACCATGGGAGCTTTGGCTTTGGCATCATCTCTACGTCCTGGGGCAAGGTTTCTAAATGTGTCCTTTGCAGCTTCCTCTGCTTCCATGTCCTACGTACTACTTTTTTTTTGTCCTGGAGCTCAGTCAGTTCAGAGAGTCATAGAATCATAGAATCGTCAAGGTTAGAAAAGTCCCTTAAGATCATCGAGTCCAACCGTTAACCCCGCACTGCCAAGCCCACCACTAAACCATGTCCCTAAGCACCACGTCTACCCGGCTATTAAATATCTCCAGGGATGGGGACTCAACCACTACCCTGGGCAGCCTGGTCCAATGCTTGACAGCCCTTTCAGTGAAGAAGTTTTTCCTAATATCCAACCTAAACTTCCCCTGGCACAGCTTGAGCCCGTTTCCTCCCATCTTATCACTTGTTACTGGGTAGAAGAGACAGACCCCCACCTCGCTACAACCTCCTTTCAGGTAGTTGTAGAGAGCAATAAGGTCTCCCCTCAGCCTCCTCTTCTCCAGGCTAAACAGTCCCAGCTCCCTCAGCCGCTCCTCATAAGACTTGTGCTCCAGGCCCTTCACCAACTTCGTTGCCCTGCTCTGGACACGCTCCCGCACCTCGATGTCCTTCTTGGAGTGAGGGGCCCAAAACTGAACACAGTACTCGAGGCGCGGCCTCACCAGTGGCGACTACAGGGGCACCATCATCTCCCTGGTCTTGCTGGCCGCACTATTCCTGATACAAGCCAGCATGCCACTGGCCCTCTTGGCCACCTGGGCACACTGCTGGCTCATGTTCAGGCGGCTGTCAACCATCACCCCCAGGTCCTTTTCTGCCAGGCAGCTCTCCAGCCCCTCTTCCCCAAGCCTGTAGCATTGCATGGTGTTGTTGTGACCGAAGTGCAGGACCCGGCACTGAGCCTTGTTGAACTTGATACAACTGGCCTCGGCCCAACGACCCAGTCGGGCCAGGTTGCTCTGTAGGGCCTTCCTACCCTCCAGCAGTGCGGCACTTCCACCCAGCTTGGTGTCATCTGCAAACTTACTGAGGGTGCACTCAATTCCTTCATCCAGATCATCAATGAAGATATAGAACAGGACCGGCCCCAACACTGAAGCAGCCTCACGAGATGGTTACTTCTTTTCACAGGTATTTGTAGAGATCTTCCTTTCCCTGCAAGGCCTATCAGATTTTCTGGGCTCCTTCACCCTTCCGAGCTGCTTCCCATGGCACCACTTGTATCAGTCTCCCAGGTACGCCAAAGTCTTCTCCTCCGTAGTCGACTGCCCTGTGCTTTGCTGCTGGCCTTACTCACTGCCCTTTGGCATCCGAGACCCCCACTATTTCATGGTCATGACAGCCAAGGCTGATGCTGATTATGGCATCCCTGACCAGCTCTTCCTTGTTTGTCAGGACGAAATGCAGGTGAGCATCACCTTTCTTGGCCCACCTGGCATCTCATCTAAGAAGTCTTCCCAAGATCCTCCAGGCTGTTGGCACCGTGTTGTTTTGGCTGGCCAGTGAATGCCAGGGCAATTTTAGTCCCCCCGTAGGAACCTGCTCATTGACCTGCAGGCTTCCTTTGGGTGCTGTCAGAAGACTTTTTCTCACTACTCTCCCTGATCTAGTAGTTTGCAACTGCCAAGATAATATCATCTTGACTGAATTCTCCTCTCATCCTCACTCACACAAGGTAACTCAACCTGTTGCGCATCTTGTTGAGGACCTCCTTATATCCCAGCTGCTCCTTCACACAGGGGCATCCCCCCGTCCTCATCCTCCCTGCCACTCCCTCCAGCAGAGCCTGTATCCTTCCATTGCAGCACCACAGCTCAGCAAGCTGTCCCACCACATCTCATTTACTCCAAAAATGTCACAGTGCTCTGACAAGTCATGGGGCTCCTCCTGGCTGTGCACATTTGGGCCACAGCACGTCAGCTGTGGAACCATAGCGGAACAAAGATTTCTTACAGGAAAACCTGAGCACTGATCCTGACCAGAAGACCATTTTACCTCAAGCAGTTCATGCTGCGCTGTGCTGCACGTACAGCGTGGCCTTCAAAGCTGTGCTTTGCTGCATAGATCGCTCGGTCGCAGGACGACCTCAGCACCACACTGTCACAGTGGAGGCTGGAGGCAGCTCCCACCCTGTACCTGATATCACGCCTCCTGCGTGGCCTTGCCTCTATCCAACACTGCAACAAGAAGTTCTCATGAAAACAGTTTCATTTTGACTGTAGAGCTAATGAATAGTTCTTTCCTTGTAAGAAAATCCTACAGTACCTCAAATGACCAAAGCAGGAGACTTTTCTATGGATGGAGTCTGCAAAGTTTGCTGCGTTCAGGTCGAAGGCCCATTCAATGTTACACACCTGGGGTTCCCACCATCTAAAGGGACATGAGAGTGCCTCTATGATACTCCCCTTATACATAATGAACAGCATTTTAAAACATACCTTACAGAATTTGAGTGCCTTTATTACTGGGATCAGAACAGACCAGACCTGGAAAAAAGAAACCGAAACACTTTCTCAGCATCCTTGGGTGCAACCCCTGCAGTCCCACAGCCTGGTAAAGGTTCAGTTTGCTCAAGCAGCCTGGCTTGATACCCATCCACCTCTGGTTGTTCTCCTCCAGACTCTTGCCTCAAAGCACAAAAGGTCTGGGAGACCTTGCTGGTGGTAACCGAGGCTGGAATAGTGCTGTAATTTGGATTGAGCATGAGAATAATGTGAGAACACACTGATGTTTTAATTGATGCTCAAGGACTTTTCATCTTCCCATACTCTGCCAGCTAGGAGGTTCACAAGAAGCTGCAGGGGGGCACAGCCAGGACAACTGACCCAAACTTGCCAAAGGGCTATTCCATACCATATGACATCATGCTCAGTATATAAACCGGTGGGAGTTGGCTGGGGGGCAGCGATTGCCGCTCAGGGACGTGCTGGGCATCGCTCGGCGAGCAGTTTTTCTCTCTGCACTAAGGGACCCTCCCTTTGCCGCTCGGTGCAAGATTTCACTTGGAAATGTCAGGGATTTCAACCATCCAAAACCACCCCTAAATGTGGCAGGTGCCACTAGAACAAACCAACCAAACAAAATCACCTCAGCTCTGCTCTGCAGTTGGGCAAATTGCAAACAACAACGCTGAAAAGCTCTTTGCTATACCACGCGTGCATTAAATTTAAGATCACCTAGTTCCCTCTCGCTGCAGAGCAAGAAGGACTCCTTGGGAGCCCATTGCAGAGTCCCTGCTCCCAATGGCCCCTTCAGCCAGCAAAATGAGGAGCTCAAGTGAGGGAGCTGCAGAGCTTCCTGAAAAGAGAGTCTGAGTGGGGGTTTGCTATGAGACATGCAATATGGTTTGCTCAGAGAAGTCTGAATAACTCAGTAATGCCTTTTCCTCCTCAACAGATAACCATACCCAGAGGAAGCAAATGCCCAAATACAGCTCCATCACCCAGTTCCTCCTCCTGGAGTCTGCAGACTCTCGGGAGCTGCAGCTCTTGCACTTCTGGCTCTTCCTGGTCATCGACCTGGCTGCCCTCCTGGGCAACGGCCTCATCATCACCGCTGTAGCCTGCGACCACCGCCTCCACACCCCCGTGTACTTCTTCCTCCTCAACCTCTCCCTTCTTGACCTGGGCTCCATCTCCACCACTCTCCCTAAAGCCATGGCCAATTCCCTCTGGGACACCGAGCACATCTCCTACTTGGGATGTGCTACACAGGTATTTTTCTTTCTCCTTTTCTTGTCAGCAGAGTGTTGTCTCCTCACCATCATGGCCTATGACCGCTATGTTGCCATCTGCCAACCCCTGCACTACGGGACCATCCTGGGCAGCAGAGCTTGTGTCCACATGGCAGCAGCTGCCTGGGGCAGTGGGTTTCTCTATGCTGTGCTGCACACGGCCAATACATTTTCAATACCGTTCTGCAAGGCAATGCTGTGGACCAGTTCTTCTGTGAAATCCCCCAAATCCTCAAGCTCTCCTGCTCAAACGCTTACCTCAGAGAAGCTGGGCTTCTCATGGTTAGCGGCATTTTACTCTTTGGCTGTTTTGTTTTCATTGTGGTGTCCTATGTGCAGATCTTCAGGGCCGTGCTGAGGATCCCTTCTGAGCAGGGACGGCACAAAGCCTTTTCCACGTGCCTCCCTCAGCTGGCTGTGGTCTCCCTGTTTGTCAGCACTGGCATGTTTGCCTACCTGAAGCCCCACGCCATCTCCTTCCCGTCTCTGGACCTGGTGGTGGCAGTTCTGTACTCAGTGGTACCTCCAGCAGTGAACCCCCTCATCTACAGCATGAGGAACAAGGAGCTAAAGGATGCCTTGAGGAACCTACTTGAATACATGCTACTTCAGCATCCATGAGGTGCCCATCATCTTCATAGGACTTGCAGGGTATCTCAGGAAAAGCCAGGACTATATTGTGTTCATATCTGTGGGTCTTTTGGTGAGGGTTTTTATTTTGTTTATATGTCTGATAATAATATTCCCCTTTAAATAATTCTATTCTTGGTTTCCTTTTCTTCTGATCCAAAGACTTCACGTACATATGGAGTCAGGCTCCCTACGTCGGCAAACTTAGTAAAGAAACCAGCAGAAAATTGTCTCGGCTCCCATCTCTTATATTGCCTCTGGAGCTGGGGGTGCAGTGCAAGCATGCAGGAGGGGTTTAGAAGCCAAGAGCCCAGCTGCTTCATGGAGGAGCAGCCCTGGTGGCTCTTGGGGCTGCCCCTCATTGCCTCATTGGCCAGAAAATTTCTGCCACCTGCAAGTCAGGGCTGCTGCTTCCCCGGAGCCAAGGCCATGGACAACAGCAGGATGTTGTCTTTTCACTGCTGGTCTGTCCTCACTTCCACACTGTCCTGCTGTGCCCTGTATTTGTGTTAACCCTAAATTCTCCTGTAACTTAAGACAGTTTTCTTGTCTCCACAGTGGCACATCCCTGGGGTTGCAGGCAGGATCAGGTAATGCGAACCACTGTGTCAGAGCTGCTGTCCCTTCTGACACCACCGTGACCAAAGGGGCTCCTCAGGGCAGGGCCAGAAGACCAGGTGCCTCTTGCAAAGCTGGTTCCAGGAATACACCCAAGGAGCTGCTCTCTGAATGGGCCTCTTGATGTTTTGGGGTTCTCAACAGATTCAGGGGGACAAACTCAGAGTCCCAGAGTGATCTGTTAGGGACCAAGGGCTGGACCAAGAGCTCTCTTCTTGATGGCATGTGCTCAAGCAGACAGCAACTGGTCTTTGACTTATCTGCCTAGCACTGTCCCACCTGCAGTGAGGCTGATGGCAGATGCCATCCTGGAGAGGAACTGGGATCTGCCAGGAAAGCTCGGGGAACCTCCAAGGACAGCGTGTGAGTCTGGGTGGGGGAGTGGCACCTCATAAAATGAGTGACCATGCAAGGTAATATCTCCCAGAGGAAAAGCTGAACCTGAGGAGCCCATGGGCAAACAAGGGCCCTGCAATGCCAAGAGGCGCTGTGAGGAGCCAGCAGACAAAGGGACATAAGACTGGAGAGTGGTTGAGGACTCCCTCTTGGAAAGCTCCTCCGGCTGGATGTATTGCAGCCCTCCCCTGCCCTTTGTGCCATTGGAGACACCCCACTGTCATGCCAAGCAGTGTCCTTGGCTACTGAGCCATCAGGGAAGATGGAAAGGGGCTCAGCAACAGCAATCCCTTTCTGGCTGGGTCTGCTCCTCACCCCAACCAGCATGGCCAGTGGAGGGTCCCCCCATGGACCCAGGAAACCACAGCCCCTTCCCTCTGCAGAGCAGCACCGCCAGCTCAGGATCCTGTGTGTGAGGAGCATGTGGAAAGAGCCAGGAATGGCCAGCCAGGCCAGCCCAGACATGCTCACCTGGGGAAAGGCTCTTTGGGAAGAACAAACATCCCTGGAGAGGAGCAAGGGAGCATTTCTGTGCCTGCAGGGAGGACTCCATGAGAAGGAGAAACCTCTTTCTGCAGGCACCCACTCAGGGCAGGCTGCTTTGTTGCTGGACCAGGACGCTTGTCCTGGCCTGGGGAGAGGGACTGGCACTGAGGGGGCATGGTCAGCCTGTGGTGGCAATCTCCTGGACCCGAGACCAGTGGTCCTGCAGTTTCACTAACCTCCATTTCCTCATGCCATGTGTGACGGATGTGCTCAAGCCGTTGACCAGACTAGTGGTAGTTTGGTGCAGGCTCCGAAAGAGGTAAAGCCCTGAGCTCCTCTAGTTTCAATCTGTTCTCTCAAAACCCACAAAGGAGACGAGCGACACCGTGAGCATCGATGCCCATGAGCTTGGAATGCCAATCATGCGATTAACACATGAACAGCAGGTGGCTTTTTTTTTTTTTCCAAGACTCATTTATCAGGGAACAGAGAAAGCTGTGGGTATGACGAATCTCCTACAGACCTTTTCCGTTGCATGTAATTTGACTACGAGCCAACCACTTCATCCTATAAATATGACAGCCTAAGTGAGCCGCCTTTGAGCTCTCCCTGTTAGGCAGTTTGGCTGCATGGTGATGATCTCCCCTTGAGCTGGGACAACTCTCAAGGGGAGGCAGAGAGACCTTTTACCAGTGACAGATCTCTGGTAAGCGACCGCTATCGCACATAACCTTGTAGTAAGGTAACTTTCATTTTGTCTTGGTAACTTTGATTGCATGCTGAATCGATGCTAAGGAAATATAACATAAGCTTTGCATGTACAATCCCTTAGACATAAACCCTTGACCAAGTCTGAGACTAAGATTGGACCTAGCCGCACCTAAGCTCCATCAGGAGTTTAGGAAGCAAGGGGGGGTTTACTCTGAACCTCGTGACCCAACGGGAGGCTCTTCCTTACTCTGTGCATCTCCGGTCCCTCGTGAATCATTCTAACTCGAGTGTAACTCAGTTCTCCTTTGTATGATTCTTCCATGCAGTAATTAATGGAGAGAATCTTGCCATCGAACTTTGTTAAGTCGCACTGTTACTTCATCATATTAAAACCACTTTTGCTAATACCTTTGTCGGTGTTTCCTTAAGTGGTCTATAATCACCCATTCATGAAAAATTGGCATAGGCGGCAGGATCCTAACTCAGAATTTGCAACACAAGGTCAGACAGCGGGGCAGGAGCGCCCCGGGCCATGCCGGGAGCTGCTGTCCTGGGGCGTGGGGCTGCCAGGTGGCCACATTGGTCTCGGGAGGTGCAGTCTCTTCTCCAGCTGCGGCATGGCTGAGGCGAGGGCTGGGGATGTCCATGGGCTGAGCGAGGCCCTTGGGCGGGTGTAGGGGTGTCTCCTGCCTGCTGGCCCCCCAGCGTGGCGGGGGGAGGACCCCAAGCTGGAGCCGGTCCCAGCTGGGGCAGCCCCAGGAGTGACCCGGGCACCCCAAATCCCAGAGCCCCCCTGAGCCGCCCCGGCATTTTTAGTTGCTACAACAGTAGGAGTAATGTGTTTTTCTGTTGACTCGTACAGGGCTTTCGCTACAACTGCCCTGTTCAGGGACTGCGAATATTCAGCTGCCTGGGAAAGTCGCCAGCCAGATTATTATTGTTCAAGCCTTTTTCCCCTTGCTAGAAAACACTTCATTTTTAAGTACGCTCTTGCATCGGCAAGGTCCAGGCAGCGGGGATTGTTTTCTGTAGGGAGCAGCCTGATGAATCTAGGCTGCTGCTGTGCAGCGGCAGGGCCGAACACTTCTCCGGCAAGCGCTTGGTCAGTGGTTTCGCAGGGACGGTCAGCCCGACGGGAGCTTGCTGGCTTTGCTGCTTTGGCGGCCGCCTCGGAGTAGGAGGGGACAAATGTTCTGCCTTCCTGGCTGGCATCTGACCGTAATGTGTAATGAGAATCTCGTGTCCTTCAGGAGTGAAAAATGGAGTGTAGTATTTTCTAGGGATTTTTTTTGTTAGATCTCTGGGATTCACGTGACCTTTAATAGCCAGTTGGTGGGATTTAAGCATATCTTTAAAGTTAAGCACATGCTAACTGCTACCCTGAGGTGCAGCTGGAATCCACTTGTGAGCCCCCGTTCTCACCACACTGGAGAAAGCAAATCTTTTTTTCTTTGGTGATGAAAGCAACTCAGGGAGTTTCACTGAAGTGCAGCACCTTTTTTAACGTCAGGTCTCAAGTAGCACCAGTCCTACCTCAGAACGCATCCTTCCCCAGTCTTACACAAAACGGAAAGGATATATCAAACCGATGCCACAAACATATCCTGCACTTTTATCTTGCCTGCAACGTCGGGACATGGCCCTGCTGGGCCACCTCCGCCACTCTGCATGGGAAAAAAGGTGGTATCTTTACATGCCGGGATAAGGACTTAGCTTTTTTTTTTTTTAAGCGACTTTAGACACGGCCTTAGGTTGGCTGCATTAAGTTGGTTTGCTTCACAGTTGGTCACAAGGAGGAAAACTGTAAACTCCGATATGGGCTTTGGCGTTTTCTCGTTACTGTGTAAACTCATTTACTTTATCTTCTCATGACCTGGCAAGCAGAAGCTATCACTTCATTTTAGGCCTTGATCTAGCAGTCACAAAAATCAACATTGAAAGTCTTTCTGAGATTTGGATCAGGCCCCGACATGAATTTTATGAAACTGCTTCTTGGCCACTGTTTAACTTTTTCCATGTTTTTTTTTTTCTTCATTTATCTTGAGTGTTGAAACGCTGAAAGGGGCCGATGTGTTGTCCTCCTTCAGTTTGCTCCCCCCGCTTTGGGGAGTGTGGTTAATGTTCTCCTCTTGGCTTTGCGAAGGGAAAAATCCATTCATACCCCACCTGACTTGAATTGCTGTTGTTGGAAACCCATTAAAAGCTTATTGCAGCCTCGTCTCGCAAATGGCATGCATTCTGGTTCTCATTTGATAGGCAGCCTGTTGGCTTGTTCAAATTACTCCGTCGAACAATTCAATTACTCAAAGCGGCGATGCTGATATGAAGAGCTTACGCGCTTCATTGCTAGCGATTCCGTGCTTTTCACTCTGCAGGCTGGAAATGTGATTTGTGTTGGGGCTGTGGCTTTAACAAGGGAAGACCAAGCTGTTTCTCTGTGTATTTCTTTTCCACCTCTTCCCTTATCCCCTCCCTCCCTTTCCCTCCGTGAGGCTGTTTTTGTGGTGTGCCCTCACTGGCGAAATGAGCTCCCACACCAAACGGAGGGAAATTTTTTTTTGGGCAAGGTGAGAGGTGTCGCAGTCCTTAGTTCGCAGATTTAATACGTAGGCCCTGTTTAAAAAATACAGCGTGTGTGTGGGTCAGCGGTCCCTGCGTGTTTTTATTATTTATAGCCATTTCTATAGATACAGGACTTCACACACTGGGTTCACACGGTGCTGTGCTTCTTGTAAACCGAATCACTTTTATCCTTGCTACAGTCTGGGGGTAGCAAGTGC